TATGATCACTAGGATGAAAACAGACATTGGAAGATGTGGCTCGGAGCCGAAGTGTTACTTTAGGTGTACACAGGCGCTGGCATGTACACCCACTTAAGACACGAAAGATGTTTATCTCCTTGGAAAACAGAACCACTGATTGTTCTTGTACAAACTATGCAGATATTACTATCCTATATCAGGCGCCCAGGCTGAATATTAAACTATCCAGAATAGCAACGCAGAGGAGACGCATGAACTCATCTACCCGAGCAGGAGACAAAATGAAAGAAAACTAAAATTGCTATTCTAATTATTTGGTGAATCACGTATTGAACTGAGACGCTATTGGTAGATGGAAGTGAAGGTGGTATGGTATACAGCTTGATCTCGTCAGACCTTGGCTACTAGGCAGGATCAGTACTTGGATGGGAAAACACCGAAGAAGACAGCAGAGAAAGCCAATGGCATACCGCTTATGCTTCTCACTTGCCTTGAAAGCTCCTTGCTACGGTTGCCATAAATCGGCTGCAGCTTGACGGCACATACATACGAATTATTGGTAGATGTATCCAGGTGGTCAGCCGTGTTGGTGGCACCGGACCCTAAATTTGTTCTATAGGTAGATGTGTATTTTTATTGAGCCTTAACATTGACTAGAAAGAGACAGAACCATCTCGGGGCCTTTGTAAGATAAAACCTGACCATCTTAACTAAAGGAGCATGTATGTTCACGGTTTATTTCAGATCTCTCCAAACAGTAACCTGAAGATATGATAAATCACCATTCAGACTGTAGCCCTTCGGTAGGAGAGATCGTCGCTTTCGTAGTCATAGATACAAAATGGCTTTTTCCGCTCTAGGCTCCTCTTAGTTTAGCCACCTCTATAATCAAAGCGGAACTGACGCACGTACTTTCCTGCCTGTACCGGAAGCGTCGGAGACGTCGGCGGGTTGAGAGCGCGCGCGTGTTGGTTGACTGTGGGAGAAGAAGGGGAAAGGCGATCGGCTCCGGCTTCTTTGGTGGCGTTCTCAGCCATGGCGTACCGCGGGCAGGGCCAAAAGGTCCAGAAGGTGATGGTGCAGCCTATCGTATCCTTATACTAGCGCGAAAAGCAAAGCCGCGCCTGTTGAGCCCGAGAAATGAGTCCGCAAATGACGAAGGCTTTGTAGGGACTGTTGGAGGTGGGGCAGGAGTGAAAAAGTGTGTGTGTAGAGGGGGGTCTTTTTAAGGGGGCGGTGAGTGTGGTTGACTGGGGAGAAGGGCTGTGCAAAAGGAGGACTTTAACTGGTTATGGCTCGGAAATACCGTAGGGCCGTGCTAAGCCTTCCTCACTATGTTGGATTGTTGCGTTCGGGAGTTGCGGGCAGGGTGGGCTTCAAGGAAAGAATTGCTATGTCCGCGACTTCCTCATAGGTATCAGAAACTTGCATAAACGCCAGTTGCCGCTGTGTTTGAATTGTAGCCTTAATTGTTAGTGGCAAGAATATTTTTTCCTTATATAATTTAATTCACTAACTTATTTAAGCTATCCTTTTAAATGATCTTGTAGTGTTCAGGCATAGTAATCCCCCCCCCCATCACTTAAGTGATGAAAGAAAAAGTCTCCCCTGAGTTGGGGGGATTGTGGTATCAGAACTTGAGTGGGTTGCTAGTTAGTGGGCACTACCTGCCACTCGCTGTTTTTTTGTTTTGTTTTTTGGGGGCCCCCAAGGAGATTTGTATTGCATTTCTATAAACTACAAAGAAAATTGGGATAGGGAATCTAATAGCTACAGGAGAAAGGAAAGTTAACCACTAAAAACCCAAGTAGTGAAGATCATTACATAAGCTTATTCAATTGCCACTCACTGTTTTGAACCAGAAAATGCCCCCTTTAAAAAGGAAGTACTCATTATTTAAAGTTAAAAGGCAGTATTCGATTAAAAGGCCAGTTTTCTTGGAGTTGAGTGGGTTGGAGCTTTGGTGTCGCAATCAGCCTCATCCTTGTCATGCTCTTCATTGAAAGGAAGCATTGATTTATTTTGGGGATTAGATAAATGTGAGAAACCAGTTGCATGTTTAACTTTCCTTTGTTTTGTTGGTTTCCAGTGTTGCAAAACACATTCTGAAGTTGGTCAGGGTATCAAAAATACTGCCTTTTATAGCTGTCCAGATATTGTGTGGGGTAGGTATTTATGAATGTCAGGAGCTATGTTTAAAACTTAGCCTGTTTTTCTCTCTTGCTCTATCTACTTTCCATGTAAAAAGGATGGTCATTTAGAAGGCATTCAAGTTATCTTGAGTTGTTGCTCCTAAACTACTTGACTAGGTATAAAGTGTTGAAAGATGTGGTTTATACTGCTTCTGCTGCTGAAATTAGTTTCCTAGAAACTACTTGATGTGTTTTTTCCCTTAAGTCACTTGTTACAGAACCTCATCTTCAGATATCTACAGAATGTAAGTGAACTTATTATGCACAATAAAATCTGAGTTTTTTTAAGACAGGAGAAATGGGAAAATGGCAAATGGAGCCTAGCAGTGGCTGGAGAGCTGTATGGTGATTTGCATACTTCTTCTGTGTGGTTTCCTGATAAAGGGTTTTCAGCTTTTAAAAGTGTGCTTAAGGTATTTCTAAATATGGTTGATATTAAGGCTTATGGCAAATTTCAATATTATGGTAAGAGAACTATATAGAACTTGACACATGAAAGGCAATTATGAGGTGAGTTTTCTGTAGCAGTTCTACATAGTTAGGTTGCCCCCATCCAAAACAGTCATTTTTGATTTCAGGAGCATGAACTTCACAAAATGAGGGGGACAGTCAGAAGGAAGCATAAAGAGGGGAGTAAAGAGAGTCCAATCCAGAATACTAGGGAGCTAATTTAAATCCACATTAGTTGAAGCCCAAATAGGATGCATAATTCAGGTTAAGAAAGGTGCCATGTTTATTTATTTATTTATTATATTTATACCCCACCCTCCCAGCCATGGCCGGCTCAGGGCGGCTTACAACAACATAAAAACTACAATGCATAAAACAGCAATCTTAAAACAATAACAATATTAAAAGGTGCTAACAATAATAATCCAATTTCCAATAATAGATATCAGTTTAACATTATGTCTAAGATGGCGTTCAACTTCTATGCCATCCTAATGGTCAATCTCGATCTAACATTATATGGGTGGCTCAGGCTGCTTTAAAATTTCCAGGGGCAGGGCATTCTCCCCTGGGGTGGCTCCTAATTGAATGCCAGGTGGAACAGCTCCGTCTTGCAGGCCCTGCAGAACTGCATAAGGTCCCGCAGGGCCCTGATCTCCTCCGGGAGCTCAATCTACCAGAGTGGAGCCACCGCCGAGAAAGCCCTAGCCCTGGTTGTAGCCAGCCTGGCATCCTTTGGCCCAGGAAGGGTGAGTTGATGTTGAGACCCTGATCGCAGCGTGCTCTGGGGAACATGTGGGGAAAGGTGGTCCCTTAGGTATGTAGGTCCCTGGCCATAAAGGGCTTTAAAGGTAAGAACCAGCATCTTAAAGTGAACTTGGTATGCTATTGGTAGCCAGTGCAATGCCTTCAGCACAGGCTTCCGAATTTGCGATAAGGGCAGCCCCATGTAGAAAGCATTACAGTAGTCCAACCTCGAGGTGACCATTGCATGGATCACTGTTGCAAGGTCGTTGCGTTTAAGGAAGGGAACCAACTGCCTAATCATCCAAAGATGATAAAAGGCCGACTTGGTATTGGCTGCTACCTGGGCCTCCATAGTCAAGGAGTTATCCAGGAGCACTCCCAAGCTCCTAACCTCCGGTGCTGGCACCAGTGGAGCCCCATCAAAGGTCAGGAGTGGGATCCCTACCCTTACTCTGCTCAGGCACGGGACCTCCATCTTCGACTAGTTCAGTTTCAGCTGGCTCAGCCTAAGCCATCCAGCCACGTCCTGTAGCGCCTGGCCAAGATCTTCCGATTTGGAGTCGGATTGGCCGCCCAACAGCAGATAGAGCTGGGTGTCATCAGCGTACTGGTGACACCCCAGCCCATGTCTCCGTGCAATCTGGGCAAGGGGGCGCATGTAGATGTTAAACAACATCGGGGATATCACAGCCCTCTGAGGCACTCCATAATCAAGTGGTTGCCGTCAGGAAAGCTGTTCCCCCAGCGCAACCCTTTGTCCCCAGCCTTGGAGAAAGGAGACGAGCCATTGCAAGGCAAGCTCCTGAATCCCAACGCCGGTGAGGCGGTGGGCTAGTAGCTGATGGTCGAACAGCAACAGCACCGCCACTCTGCCTCAATTCATATGCCTCCGGAGATCATCTGTGAGGGCGACCAAAGCAGTCTCCATCCCGTGACCCGAGCAAAAGCCGGACTGGAAGGGATCTAGGATGGAAGCGTCATCCAAAAAGCTCTAAAGCTACATCGCCACTCCCCTCTCTGTCAGCTTACCCAAGTAAGGCAAGTTGGAAACTGGCCGGTAGTTCGCCAATTCGGCCAGATCCAGGGATGGTTTTTTAAGGAGAGGACATACCACTGCTTCCTTGAGCGCTCCTGGGAACAGTCCTTCCAAGAGGGACTTGTTGACTATTTCCCCGAGGGCACCTTGAAACCCCACGCGGCCAGCTTTAATCAGGCACGAAGGGCATGGATCCAGAGAGCAAGTGGTCGGGCGTACAGTCAGAAGCAATTTGTCAACTTCCTCTAGGCTGAGCAGGTCGAAATAATCCATAACCCAACCAGAAGATGTGCAAGGGGCCTCGAGCTCACTCACTGTTTCAAATGTGATGGGGAGGTCATGGTGGAGCGACAAGACTTTGTCTGCGAAATAGCTCGCAAAAGCCTCACAGGCAATGTCCAATTCACCATCAAAGCTGTGATCCGGTCACTGTGACCCCCCACTGCAAAGATCAAATCAAGCATGTGCCCAGCTCGGTGAGTGGGGGTCGTTACATGTTGGGAGAGTCCCAGTGCTGCCATGGACGATACTAGGTCGCATCATCAGCATGGACATTGAAATCACCCAGGGCTATTAGTCTAGGGTGTTCCAGTGCCCAGCCTGATGCAGCCTCCACCAGGGTCGGCAAGCTATTGGCTGGTGCGTTGGGCAGGCGGTACACTAGCCAAATCGCTAAACTCTCCCCGGCCTCCCACACCAGGCCAGCACACTCAATGCCGATGATCCTTGGTGGCGGGAGCGCTCTGAAGGAGTAAGCCTCCCGAATGAATAGGGCTACTCTTCTCCCCCCGGCCCCCTAGTCCATGATTGGTGAAGGACTGAGAACCCCGGAGGAGCTAATTAGGAGAGAGCTACTGTTTCCCCATCTCGCACCTAGGTCTCAGTCATGCATGCCAGGTCTACCTTCGGCTCAAGCAGGAAGTCCCAAAGGATCGTGGTCTTATTGTTTATAGACCTGCCATTGCACGACGTCAGTTGTGCACAGCCCCATATTGAAAAGAAGAAAGGCAGTTCTTTGAAAGGCTTTGATCTGCCTACTGTAAAATTCATCATGACAGTCATGCTCCCCTACTCTTTGTAGGAGAAGTGGGATAATTCTCTTAACTGTGTTAAGCTTTGGAGTAGGCAGAAGCTTTTGCTTGCTCTAAAGTTTAACATGACATAATAAGACCTCCACAGAAGTTTGGGTTACTCAGGAATTATGTAATTCTGGGTAACTCAGGTAGAAGATCTGTGTGCTACCTTACTTGGGGCTTTTGCCTAGAGTGGTCAGTTTAGAGGAGATGTATGTGGCACAGCTACATAACTTATTATCTTCATTGTTTACTTTGTAGAGGTCCAGAATTCAAGTATGGCTGTATGAACAGGTGAACATGCGGATAGAAGGGTGTATTATTGTGAGTATTGCAACCCTGCTGTCTGTCCTTCCCTTTCCACCAATCTGGACACCTGTATTCTAAAGGCTATCTTAGAAATTGGTCCCACTGGTTTAAGTGAGTGAGTCTGGTGCGGTGATGACCTGTCCTAAATGTGTTACTCTGATGGGAAAGATGAACCAAGCAGTACATAGGTCTAACAGAATGTTAGACTGGCTAATTCATAGGAAACAGAGAGTGAGTATAAATGGGCAATTTTCTCAGTGGAGGGGGGGTAAGCAGTGGGGGTACCACAGGGATCAGTACTTGGTCCAATGCTTTTTAACTTGTTTATTAATGATTTGGAGTTGGGAGTAAGCAGTGAAGTGGCTAAATTTGCAGATGACACGAAGTTGTTCAGGGTGGTGAGAACCAGGGAGGATTGTGAGGCACTCCAAAGGGATCTGTCGAGGATGGGCGAGTGGGCGTCAACATGGCAAATGGGGTTCAATGTGACCAAGTGCAAAGTGATGCACATTGGAGCCAAAAATCCTAACTATAACTACACATTGGCAGAGACTGATCAAGAGAGAGATCTTGGAGTCATCGTACATAACTCACTGAAAATGTCGAGACAGTGTGCGACTGTAGTAAAAAAAGGCCAGCACTGTGCTCAGGATTATTAGGAAGGGAATTGAAAACAAATCAGCCAGTATCATAATACCCCTGTATAAATCAATGGTGTGACCTCATTTGGAGTACTGTGTACAGTTCTTGTCACCACACTTCAAAAAGGATATTATAGCATTGGAAAAAGTGCAGAAAGGGGTAACTAGAATGATAAGAGTTGGAACACTTTCCCTATGAAGAAAGGTTAAAGCATTTGGGGCTCTTTAGCTTGGAGAAATGACGGCTGAGAGCTGACATGATAGAGGTTTATAAGATTATGCATGGGATAGAGCAGGTAGAGAAAGAAGTACTTTTCTCCCTCTCATAATACAAGAACTCATGGGCACTCAATGAAATTGCTGAGCAGTCAGGTTAGAACAGATAAAAGGAAGTACTTCTTCACCCAAAGAGTGATTAACACTTGGAATTCACTGCCACAGGAGATGGTGGTGACTACAAGCATGGATGACTTCAAGAGGGAATTAGATAAACATATGAAGCAGAGGTCCATTAGTGGCTATGAGCCACAAGGTATAGATAGGAACTCAGTCTGGGGCAAGGGATGCTCTGTATTCTTGGTGCCGGGGGGGGGGGGCACAGAAACAACAGTGGGAGGGCTTCTAGTGTCTTGGCCCCACTGCTGGACCTCCTGATGACACCTGGTATTTTTGGCCACTGTGTGGCCATTGGCTTCTCTTCTGTTCTTATGTTCTCTTAATGTGGCTGGTAGACTGCAAATTGATAAGCATCCCCCTGATTCACAATTATTTAAGACTGATTCATACTGTTATAGCTACATGTTGACTCTGTTTGTCACATCATTATCCTTTGATACATTTGCCATGTGATAACTCAGTATCATAGTCTCATTTGAAAAGAACAGTAGAAGTCAGTGGAAAGCAAGCTACCATGTGCTGACTTTACATCTTCTTCCACCCCCCACCCCCAGGTTCTACTTCCTTTAGAAATGTGGCAATTCATTGAGCTGTGTTTGTCTTACAGGGGTTTGATGAATACATGAACCTGGTGCTGGATGATGCTGAGGAGATCCACTCCAAGACAAAATCAAGGAAACAGCTGGGTAGGTTTGGGGGCAGGGTTGATAGTGGATATGAACCTGCTTTTTTCCTGTCTTGTAAAAGGCCAGTGATTGTTCTTCATTGACATTATGAAGACTGCTGAGAAGGCTTTGGCATGGTTCTAGGAACTCAAGCTATAGCTTGTAAACTTTTGGGCACAGGAAGGCTATTGGAATGCTTTGACACCTTAGCTTTTCCAGCTCACTAGTGCTTCGTTTATGCAGTTAACCATAGGGTGGGAGTTTTCTGGTTTGCAGAATGTAGCTGGTAGACTCTACCTCTCCTGCCAAAATTTGAATTAAGTAAAAATACTGGTTCAAATGAAGTGCCAGTAGGGTTAATGGGGACATCAGTCAAGTGTAGTTGCATATGCATAATTGCATCCAGCAGAACACAATGGCTACAATCCAGAGAAGTGTACAGAAGAGATGCTTTGTGTGTGCATGCACGTACAAGGCTTTCAGCAGAGTTTTGCCCAGAAGCAACTCCCAGCTAGCTTGCCAAACAAAAAACACCCAAAGTTTGAAAGTGCTGCTGCAGAGCTGATGCTAGACAACAGAAGGCCACAGAATTTCTTGGAGAACTATTGTTTCAGTGGTAAGGGATTAATAGCTTTTTATTATGACTGATTGCACTTCTTTAATGTAAAAACAAACTATCACTGGAGAAGGATGGGAATATTAAGGATGGAGAGTTAGGTGGTATGAGTGCATAGGAGGGTTGTCGAATCTCTTCCATGTCCGTGAATATGCAGTTCAGATGCATGATAATATGTAACTGAGTTAAAATGTTACTTTAAAAAAAGACAAACTTTTAAAATGCATAGGTCTAACAGCACTCTTTTTTGTTACAGGTCGAATCATGTTAAAGGGAGACAATATTACTCTTCTACAAAGTGTTTCTAACTAGAAACTACTATCCTGTGTTCTGATTATAATGTTAATCTTTTAAGTACATGGAAAAGAGTGTGGTTAATTCTGTCACTTCCAAACTGTGCTTCAGTATCTAAGAAGAGAGAAAAGAATGAAGCCAGTTTTAGTTTGTGCATACGTAATTTTGATAACTTTTTAAACATTGGAGTGATATTGTAGTTCTTCATAAATAAATGTTTATGTTAATAGTTTAATCTCTCTGCTATGAATATCAAAAGTACTTTGTGCAGAAATACAATTCCTGTGAAAATGGTAGAGCAAACAAAGCATTGTTTAAGCAGTGTGTACTAGCAACAAAATGTTAAAGCACATGTATCTTCTACGCTAATTTGTTTTATTTACTTCATTTCTACTCTACTTTTCTCCCTACTGGGGACCCAAAACAGCTTACATTGTTTTTCTCTCCTCCATTTAATCCTCACAACAGCCCTGTAAGGTTGGTTAGGCTGAGAGAGTGAGTGGCCTAAGGTCATCCAGCAAGCTTCCATGGCAGAGTGGGGACCAGAACCCAGATCTCCCAACTCTAAGTACTACACAAAAGTGAATTGTAGCTGGAAGGAACAGGCCTTCATGCATTATAGGTAAAGGTAAAGGTTTCCCTTGCTCAAAAGCTAGTCGAATCCAACTCTAGGAGGTGGTGCTCATATCCGTTTCCAAACTGAAGAGCCAGCAGTCCGAAGACTTTCTCCGTGGTCATGTGGCTGGCATGACTAAACACCGAGGTGCACGGAACACTATTACCTTCCCATCGAAGCGGTACCTATTTATCTACTTGCAATTTCTTGCTTTCAAACTGCTAGGTTGGCAGGAGCTGGAACTAGAGATGGGAGCTCACTCTGTCATGCGGCACTCGGGTCTTGAACTGAATGAAAAATAGCTTTCGTTTTATTTAATAATACTTCTGTACCGATTTATTACACTGTTAAAGCTGTTTCCAGACAGATCCAAAGCAAAATATTTGAAATTGATCTATTTGAAATTAAAACCATATCAGAATGTTTCCTGACAAATAACACATTAAAATCAAGTCAGGCAAAATACCACCTCACGGAAGACTTAGGATGGAAACATCCATGCTAACTAGTGGATTGCAAATATTTATTAATTAATGCCATTTAGAGTTGAAAATAGCACAGGGGGCGTTAAACATCACCCTCTTTAGTGCTCTGATCCAGATTTTTGGCTTTCAGTGTGTTGTGCTCTCCATACTTTTTGACACATGTAATCTCTAGCTAGTTATTAAATGTCTGCTACTGAGACATCTCCACTATTTTACTATGTTCAAAGTAGTTTTTATTGGCTTCATGAGAAGCAGTCTCAGAAACATGAATGAGTTGGATTGAAAGGGCTTTTGTATTGACAGAAGACATTTCTCCCAGTAGATTGGAACTTTTTGCTCTGTTTCCCACTGTATTTGGGGTTAGGGGACCATTTGTAGCAGTGAGGGGGAGGAACACCAAATCTGAGTTTATAGTGGAGGAAGGGAATAGAGGAAAATCTGCTGGTGGAAGATGACCTTTGTATTCAAACCTGTCACTAAATAGCTGAAAACAATGGGTACAAAAGGTTAAAAGCCAAATGAATTTTTACTAGCCATAATTTTTTTTTTTAATCTACAAATCCCTAAATATTGACTGAATGTCCCTTAATATGCAGTTGGTTGTCTTAGTATTTAGCTGTCCTGGCTTACTGTTGCTTGTTTCATTCATATGGTTGGTGTCAGAACTGATCTTTGTGGTAGTTTGTTTCAGGAAGGCTAGGCTGAACTTTGAAGTATCTTGTGTTGCCACTGAATCTACACACAGTAATTGTAAAATAAGTTGGCTATGCCACCACTCAGGAGGGAAGAAAGAAATCTGGTTTATGCAAAATCCTGTCCTATCTATCAGCAGGTGGGAGTGTTTCTCATACTAACTGGATGAACTTATGACTCTGGTTCTTGTTTTACAGTGCCCTCTCCTTGTAACTCCCCCCCCCAATAGTTGTTATGGATTGGACACACCCTACATCTGTGAAGTGAACTCCAGCTGAAAGCTAATGCTGGAATAATGTAGTCTTTAAAGAGCCAGTGGACTCCTTTTTTAAATTTTGCCACAGCAGACTAATTTTTATTAGGGCAGGGAGCTGCCATGTTGCTAGTGGTGCGCAATAACTATTAATAGCAATGTGTTGCCATTACCTAATATTCGTATTGGATGGGGTTTTTTAATGTTCTGCAATTCCAGAAGGGTAGCCCTGTTGTAGTATCTGAGGAAGTGAGCTCTGATTCATGAAAGCTCATGCCAAAATAAATTTTGTTAGTCTCTTAAGGTGCTACCTGGCCTCTGTTGAATGTTTCTGTCTAACTCATGAGATGCATTCCCCCCCATATAGTAAACAGACGTAGAGCTAGTCCCTATGCTGAAGAAATCACTTTGTGTATCTGACTCTTAACTCCTACTTCTGCTTTTGAGGCTGTGAGCAAAATGCATTTGTTTTCCGTAATGTATAAAATGCAAGCTTAAAAGTGGCTCAGGAATTGAGAAACCTACCCTTGCAAGAATGGATCTATGAGTGGGTGCTCTGAAGAAACAAATATTGTCAGAAGTTGATAGGGGCAAAGTATTCAGCAGAGGGCGTAGCTGCACCTGGCAAGGAATTTCTAACTCTGTTGTAGAGTGCCTAAAGTGGAGCAGAGTTTCCTCCAGCATTCAGTCTTGCAGCTTTATTGGCTCCACAACAACCTGGAAGACAGATGAATTTGAGCTGCAGACCGAAGGACTGTTCTCAGCTACTGTAGTAGTAAAGAAGCATGCTTGTCTGTTTTTAACAGTTGCTATGCAATCTTGGACGTCTCTTGCTCCTGAGAAATTCCCATTGTTGAATGGGAGGAAGGAAAAGTACTTTCTAAGTGATAGCAAAAAAAAAATCTGGTAAAGTGAACTCCAGTATTTTTTAAGTTCATGTTTGCTTGACTTTTTGCTTTTTTGAAGCCTGTTGTGTTTGCTTTGCAAGTCTGTACTTTCCCATAATACACAGATCTATTTTTCCATTGGGCAGGAGCTTGAAGTAGTGACCTCAAGCACCCCATATTCACTGTGTTATTGCAGGGACTATTGACAACATGAAACTATTTTCTGTGGTTGCAGGAGTTAGTCGCCTGCAGTCTACATTTTCATGGTTGGATGGGTGATAGCATTCATAGTGATTGCAATGCTAACTGGTGTCTTAACACCTCTGAAGTATACATATAACATTGGATGTAGTTATTATCAAGAAGACAATCAAAGAACATACATGTATGACCCTGATGCTTCTGTGGCAACTGTAGTAGTGATTAAAACAAAAATCTTAGCAACATGAAATGGTCTGATACCAAGTCAGGCTATTAGTCCATCAGTCTTGGAAGGGAAGTACAGTCATCATACAAAATACAGGATGGGTGAGTGAAATGGCAAAGATGACACTGGAGTCTGTGGCAAGAACTGTTCCTCGGGGAGTCCTGTACCCAAGTGAGGTGGACAGAGGGGGGCCTTAGCACATCCCCCTTGTCCTGAGAGCAGTGTTCCCTCTAAAAGCTGAGTTAGTGTGAGCTAGATCACAGTTTTTTAGCCTCCAGCTCACACATTTTTGTCTTCACTCAGGAAGAATGGCTCCAGAGCAAACTAATTTATGCAGTAGCCAAATTGTTCGCTCACAACTTTAATGCCAGTAGTTCACAAAGTAGCATTTTTGCTCACAAGACTCCACAGCTTAGAGGGAGCATTGCCTGGGAGTACCAAGGAGCTGCTACGCCCAGGTTCCACCAATACCAATTAGGATCACTAGCAGGTTAGCTTGTTGCTTGCAATCCTGTGTGTCCATTTTACATACCAGTTTCTGAAGAAACTACACCCGGTCTTGATGGAAAACTCGGCCTGTAGCAAGAAAGCTAACCTGTGGAGTGGGGTACAGAAGCATCCAAGCAGCTGGTCTAATAAGTGTATCCTGTTGAAGGTGGGTCTTTCCCATGCATCATATTCTGCCCCAGAAGCACTTGCATCCATTGCATGCACAGAATGGGAACAGTGAAATGATGAGGTGCTGAGGAGGGCCACTTAACCACTAGGTTAGATTTCATATTGTAGCCTTTCAGTCCCTGAGCAGGGTTTTTTGTTTTTTGCTGTCAAGTCACAGCTGTCTTCTAGTGACCCTGTAGGGTTTTCAAGGCAAAAGGTATTCAGAGGAGATTGGCCTGGCCAGAGCAGTTGTTTCTGGTGAAGTTTTCCCTTGTATTGAACTCAGGGATGTGACCTGAAACTTATTTATTATAGTCCGCCTTCTCACAGGTTTAAAACAAATTATGAGATATCGAACAGTAATCAGAATAGGATTACAGAATTTGAGAACCGTGTGAACAGTAAATAAAGACAGGATAGTCTATAAATACAGAAAGATTATTACAAGGTAGAAGACAGTGCATTTAAAGCAGATGATATCTACAAGAATTGCAGTGGATTTGCATTATAAATGGCTCTTGTGGATTGTTTCTAATTCTAATCTCTTTAAAAATGGCCTCCTGAACACTATTATTTGGCGCATTCTGCAGAGTGATAGAAGTGCGGGAGCCTCCCTGACCTCCTTAGGCCATTCCAAAAGGTGGGAGCCACCACAGAAAATGTATGTAATGAAATAAAAGGAAGTACTTCTTCACCCAAAGAGTGATTAACAGATGGAATTCACTGCCACAGGAGGTGATGGCGGCTACAAGCATGGACGGTTTCAAGAGGGAATTAGATAAGCATATGGAGCGCAGAGCTCCATCGGTGGCTATTAACCACACGGTATAGATAGGGACTCTGGGGCAAGTGATGCTCTGTATTCTTGGTGCTTGGGGGGGGGGGCAACAGTGGAGGGCTTCTAGTGTCCTGGCCCCACTGCTGGACCTCCTGATGGCACCTGATATTTTTGGCCACTGTGTGACAAGAGTGTTGGACTGGATGGGCCACTGGCCTGATCCAACATCGGCTTTTCTTATGTGAATGGGCAGCTGCTGATCTTACCTGTTTTCAGGGTGGTACTTTTAGAAGGCTTTGCTCAGATGAGTGAAGCTTCACAGAGGAGCATGGTGGTAGAGGTGGTCCTGCAGCTGTCTGGGTCCAGGCATTAACAGCTTTGTAGGTGATAACCAGAACCTTAAATTGAGCTTGGTACCTGATTGATAACCATTGGAGTGTCCTGGTTCCTGATAGTAGCCAGGCTGCAGTGTTCTGCACCAACTGGAGTTGCTGGGTTGTCCTTAAGGAAGACAGACACCAAATAGAATGCATTACAAATAATCTAGCCTTGAGGTAACCATAGCATAGATCCAAGTGGACAGATCAACTGCGTCAACATAGGGGACCATAATCTGAGCTAAATG